GCAAGCATGACGAATATTCGGGATTTGACGATTATAAAGATCTATGGAATAAACAGATGGTACCTGAATGGACCCATCAACCATACCCAGAAGACCTTGAGAGACAAAAAACGACTCAGACTAGGTGTGCCAGGTGATATAATCTTCAATAGCCAGCAGCCCAGCAGTTTGGTGGTCACGATGTTTGTAACGTTGGTGGCGATTTGGGGCAGAGAATGCGCCAATTATGCCATGGGGGATGCTGGCGGCAGATGAGGTCCAGGTCGTGGGGCTGTGATAGAGGAGGAGACCCCCGGCGAGCCAACGAACGTGGGACCGGCAAAAGTAACAGCAGAGAGAGGCGGAGGTTCCAGTTGAATCGACTGAACCGAAGATGGAGCCGGCCAGGGGAACGCCAACCACTTATTCTAGAAGATAGAGTAACTCTGCGCAGCACTCCGAGTCAGCGAAGCAAAAGTAGAAGTCAAAAGCGAGGCGGAGCCGGGCATGATGACGGACGACTACAGACCCGATGATGATGGGGAGCCGGTCAACGATAGAGGAAAAGAGGCACTGATGCTAGCGCTCGTCGTAACAGAAGAAGGCATGGAGGTCGAGAGTGAGGTGGCTGCGGTAGTCATCGCTGCAGGCTTGTGCGGCGATCCCAAGGAGAGAGAAGAAAACGGAAAAAAAATTAGGTTTGAACCGTAGCTCGTGATACCATGTGAGAGATTGGAACTAGTTGTTATCTAAGGAGCCCTGATAGATATATTTATAATAGAAGAGTATTGTTTAAAATACATAAATAACCCTAGTCTATTAGTATAGAAGTAAGGTCCCTAGAAGTAAATATACTTCTAGGGACCTTACTTCTATTAAATCAATATATACAAGCAGTATATAATAGAGCAGTAGATAGATATATTTTGATTTGAGTTGAATTTACATTTATATAAAAGAAATTTACATTTCGTTTTAGTTTAAGTTACATTTCAATTAACACAATTTACATTTTTGATTTGCCATAAATTACATTTCAGTTAAAGTGATTTCCATTTTTTTTTATTTTCCTCAAGTTACATTTCATATACTCTCAAATTGCATTTCAATTTACGTAAAGTTACATATCATAACACGCGATTTACATTTCACATATGAAAAGTGATCAAACTACTAGAAGGAGTAACATGAGTTTTTCAGGGCGCAAGTTATATTTGCCGCTTACTGAAGTTACATGTGTGATTATGTGAATTATATTTCATTACAAAGAATTTACATCACGAAAATAACTGGGGGAAATTCACAGTTATTGTCCATCTGTATTTTTATTCAATTATTAAACCCAATGACACCTAGGAGTATGATCCTCACCGTACCTAGGGATGTTCCCACCTATGGTGCACCGATACTTCACCCTGATGTCGTATCCGCATATCCGACACGTATCCAATATCGACACTCCACCGACACGCGTTCTGTATGTATTGGGTCCGTATCTGTAATTTAATAAAAGTATTTGACTTATATTCTTAAAAATCTGGATACTTTTGATACCCGTATCCGTGAGCCGATACACGTATCTAACCCTATAACCCTGATAACTAAGCAGTCCAGTCCAACTAGTTGTGAGGTTACCATGTCTAGTGGGAGGTCTCGAGTTCGAAACCCGCTAGGCACATAAGGGTTCGAAACTCAATGAAGTGAGTTTCAACCCTGATTACTCCAGCCCCCAGCTCCCCTCCCCCAGACCCCCTATAGTAAAAAAAACCTTATAACCCTGATTTCGTACATGACATGACGAAAATTTAGTAGCCGCCAAAGCGACCACAAGATATGGAACATTAGTAAAGATGATTTCGGAAGTATAGAAAACATTGGAATGCTATAATTTGTTAATTTGTCGCTTGAAGAACATTAATTGAAATCAATCTTGTTAAAAGACTTAGATGTAAATGCAAATAGAGAACAACAAATAGTATTTGAATTTAAATCGAAATATTAGTACTTTAGCTTTTTTAGTCTAATCTTTGAAATTTTATTATAACTATTGTTTTTTTGTACTGTTAGTATTTTACTAGATTCTCACCCGTGCGATGCACGGATGAATTTTAGCAAGAGATTATGTGTTATTATTACCTCACAATAAAAAAATGATAGTTTTGAAGCAAATGAAATGTTTAAATGCATTATAAAAGTGAAATAAATATTAAAAACTCATAAATTAAAAGAGTCAAATCATAATGTTGATAGTAAAAGGATGGTAATCAAATATGTGCATTATATAATTTTACCCACCATTAAAGATCCCGGGACTTCGATCTCCATAAGTGTGTGTGTGTTAGAATTCGGTTCAAAACTTCAAATGAGAAAATGATCTCAGAAAAGAAATCAGAATGAAACTGCACTCTTGGATTGTATTATATCAATTGAATGTGCACTACTTGAACTGAAATGTGTATTAAGTGAAACCAAAATGTGCAAAATAAAAGGTACGATGTGGTGACATTGTACCTTTTGTTCTGCAAGTTTAAGTTTCACCCAATCGCATTTGAGATTTACCTTTTATTCCGCACATTCGAATTTCGCATAATGCACATTTCAATTTCACTAAATGTACGATCCAATGGTCTAGATTCATTTTTATTTCTTTCTTGAGGGTCCTTTCTCACTGGAACTATGGAACCGCTCCCTATATGTATGTATTTGTATGTGTGTTTGTGTGTGTGTACGGGTGAGTACGTTAATAATACAAAGAGTCCCTTGAAAAGTGGAAAGTAATATAAGTTCTTTATAATTTAAAATTGGATAAAATAGATCAAAAATCGTGTGACAGAATTATAAACTTAAATGTGCAGTACTTAATAGTAAAAATGCTTATGTGATATGTAAGGTTGCACACAAAGCTCGTTAAAAATATACAAAATGATCTCTATAATTTTAATATTATTTCAAAAAGTGATTCACTTATGTGTTAGTCAAACACTCCATTTCTCAATAGCAATGTACATTTATTGCTTTATTTTTCGAAAAAAGCTTCAAAGTAATATTTACACTTTTCCGAATATGATATGAATATGACATTTGTATTCTTTGAAAATGTCAAAATGTTCTCAAAAAAGTTCCATCAAAATGGCATTTCGTACACATGTTGGCATTGTTTTTCGGTGATCGGATCCGGTGGTGCTGGAGGTTGCTGAAGTTCCAGCATAGGCCTAAATATGTTTTTAATATATTTTTCATTTTTTATTCATTTTATATTAATTTTTTTAGTTTCTTTTTTTATAATTTCTTTTTGATTTTTTTTTATTTTTATTCATTTTATTTAATATTATTTCTTTTTTTTTACATTTTTATCATAAATAAAGTTATGTTATTAGTTTTATATTTTATTAATGAAATGTGAATTGTATAAAAACAAAGCAACGGTAAAATTGAAAAGCTAGTTCCATTTAGGAAATTTTTAACTTATAATCATATTTTGACAATTACTCAGTAAAATTTTATTTAATCCAATTTAGAGAATTTTTCCTACGTTTATTTACTCCGTATGAAACATCACAATATATGGAGTATGGATGTTTTCTTTTGGACTAAAATTTGTTGGTCTGGTCTGATCTGGTATGGTACTGAAAAGAAAACATAAATCCTAATTTTCAATCTACCCGCATAAAGCCCATCCGCCGGTAACCTATAGGTAGCATTAGCCATCCGCCGCTCGAGGACTGGCGCCCTCTGTGCACAGGACCCACGCGTCCAGTAACCATCATGTCAAATTTCCCAAGCATCTGTCGACGAAGTAAATGGCCGTCTTCTTTTAAGCCGTCGTATGCACCATGACCAGTTCAGTAGCTTTCGCCGTGGAAGACTATGTGCCGAGGTTGAAGTAGGCATATGCTTGTGCTAGCGTCAGTAGCTTTCCTATTGTTCCCCCTCTTTCTGGAGCTCCATTGATGGCCAAGAGGCAAATCAGGCAATATGGCCGGCCATCGGAAAGCATGAAGGCGGATCAATTAAATTGACTGACAAATTTCACATCAACTTTTGTTTAATTGGTTTCTTTAAGATACAGTTTCCCAATTACCCAAAGAATATGTATGTATGCGACGGGATATGCTATTTATTACCCAGTTAGTTCAACGCCATTTCAACATAGAGTAGTAACCCGACCCAAAACAAATGACCCATATTTTGACCCGTTTTTTTGGGCGGGAACACTGTACACTTTTCCTCTTGCTTTTGTATATAGTAAGATTTAGGGAAAGTTCTCGAAATAGAACTAAAAAAGTTTGAAAATTCCAAAATAAGACTGTCATGTTTTTATTCCCAAAATAGGAGTAATTACTGCCAAGTTTTGAAAATACTGTCATGTTTGAAGTCTGGTATTGCCAAAACATGACAGTAATTAATCTTATTTTGGGAATAAAAACATGACAGTCCTATTTTGGAATTTTCAAACTTTTTTAGTCCTATTTCGGGTAATATCTCTTTTATTTATGAACATCTGAATTATATATATTTGGAAATTATACCCTATATTATTATGATTATTATTATTATTATTTATAAACATATCGCATACTCGTGTCTTATAATTTTTGAAGTTGTCATATCATCGTACCGTATTTGTGTATCGACGTGTCGGCGTATCCGTATCCATGCTATAACAACTGGGTTATGCTATAACAATTGGGTTAGAGGTTTGAATTTGGAATTGAGACAGACAATTCCACCGTATAAAGGGTACTTACTCTGTACTGTAATTATTGATCATAATGATTACGGAGTATAAGGATGTTTTTACTTGGACTGTAATTTGTTCCAGACCAGACCAGACCAGTCCAGACCAGACCAGACAAGTTCAGACCAGACCAGACCAGACCAGACTTGGATAGTTATAAAAATACAAAGAAACCAGACCTTACCAGACCAGACCAGACCAGTTCAGACCAAACCAGACCAGATCAGACCAGACCAGACCAGCAATAAAAACATCCTAAAATAAATACCCAGGGATTAGGAATTTAGGATCTCACTTCCACCTAAAAATTTGAGACTCTGGCTATTAAGGTTCAGTTACTGTATCTCTCAGGTAAAAAGAACCCTTAATTATTCCGCTAATTAAATTATTATTATGTTGCGCATGGACTCTTGTTATATATCCATGTTGCTTAGTGTGTAGGTTTCAGAGCAATGGCTGACCTAGGGCTAGCAGGAGCTTCACAACCCTTCAAACTTTCTAACAGGGCGACGAAATTTGAAGCCGAAGTAGATGCCGCGGATAACCCTTCAGCTGATATTGGGTAATGATCGGAACTTGGAACATTGATCCTTTATTGTTTTGCGAAGTTGCAGATTTATAAATTCATGTTTTGGTTTTAGTTTCATTAGCGCCGAAAGAAAATCTTAAAGGATTGGTTTCTACTTTGATACCCAAAGTTGCACTTTTAGATCTTCCGTTCTATTGTCATTTGTGAAGGTTCAATACCCAATCACACTTCACTTTCCACCGTTTTGAAGTGAAAAGTTCGAAGAAATAAACCCAATGATCAATCCCTTTAAGTTCATTTGAGCGTTTCTTTTTAATTGAATTACAATTTTTAGAATCTATATTGGATTGCAATTTCTCTGTGTTGACTTTTTTCTTGTGTAAACTGGAGAAAATCAAGCTTCTTGTTGAGTAGAATTCCGTTGTTTGATGGGAGTGGATACGAGATATGGAGCATCATGATGAAGACTATGTTTATATCCCAAGATCTTTGGGATTTAGTGGAGGGAGGTTATACTGAAAAAGAGCTTACTTTTGAAGAGTCATTATATGTTCGAAAGAAGGATGCCACAGCGTTGTTTTTCATTCAGCAAGCTATAGACAAATCTGTCTTTTTCTGCATTGCTAAATCCAGAACTTCTAAAGAAGCTTGGGATGCACTGCAAAATAAGTACCAAGGAGATCCAGAGGAACAAATATCATGGAAGCTGGATGATGAATCCGTTTGTTCTTTCCCTGCTTATGCAAATGAATCAGAAGAAGCTTCTTGGGATGCAATAGAGCAGGGGTATCAGTTTTGTGGCAAGGTATGAACTTGCAGTGAGTGTCATGATTTTGGCACAAGATTCTAAAGTAGGTCTATGCATTTGAATACTTGCATGATGATATTGAATAATGGTGGAGATGGCAATCAAATGAAAGAATATGGGTAGCTTTTATAATTATCCACAACAAATTTGGTGAAAGTGCGAAACAATGTTTTTTGAGTTTTCATAAGAAATTTGACCGTTTTGTGATGCTAGAAAAACTTAGAGCCCATTTGGTAATGGTAACCTGATTTGGCTTATTTTACCGGCCATATTGACTTCTTCTCCAAATGATTTTTCTTTCACAAATTTAGCAGCCGTTTAAGACTAATAAGCCTTACCACATGGGCTCTTAGCATTGGAGTGGTGATGAATTGCTCAACTGTAATGGACTGGCCTTAAACAAAATGAAGATTAATGAATAGAATAATAACACTTGTAGGTCGTGGAGGCAAATACAACTAGTGAAGAGTTGGGAGATTTCAACAATAATTTTGTCTACCAGGGGTGGTGCAGTGGGGATTCCTCTGGTGGATTCAGAGATGATATTAGTCTCTCTGGGGATGGAATCGGGAAAGACTTGGGAGACTCCAACAACAATTCTGTCTCTAAGAAAGGTTCGAGAGGAAATTCCTCCCGTAAAGGTCGTGGATGTAGAAATGGTGGACGCCTTAATAGCAATGGTGGTGGCCGAGATAGTAAGCACCTTAACAAGACGAAAAGCTGTGGAGGTGTAGACAGTGATAAACCCGTAAACCCCAACCATGGAAGTCGTGGAGGTGGAGGTCGTAGAGGTATAAACAGTGAAGGCTTAAATGATGCATGCCTAAATGACAATCATTCTGAGTGTGGTGATAGCAATGATCCAAAAATTGAATTGATTTCTTCAACTCCTGGTAATGCAATCAAACTTAATGAAGCTCAGGGTGAACAAGAACAGACACACACAGCTTCTACTGAGGTAATTTCCATTAAGCTTTGATGCTTTACAATGAAAAGTTGATAAACTGTAGTTTTCATTGGAATTCTATTATGTTCTTGGTATTTTATTGTCTTTTTTTTTTTACTCCAGGGGTTCTGGGGGGGCTGGGGGAGCCTGGAGTAATCAGGGCTGAAACTCACTCCATTGAGTTTCAACTTTCAAGCCCTTATGTGCCTAGCGGGATTCGAACACGAGACCTCCCACTAGGCACGATAACCTAGCAACCAGCTGGGCTGGAATGCTTGGTTATTGTCTAGTTTGACAAGGGCAGCCTAGTGCATATGAGCACCAGCGCCTCTGCAAGGAGAGGGTCTGGGCAAGGGTCCCAACCACAAGGGTGTATAGGGGACAAGCCTTCCCTTGTCATTTTTAATAGAGGCTGGTCCCAAGACTTGACTCGTGACTTCTTGGTCACACAGCTGTGCCAAGGCTACGTCTCTTTCTATTTCAATTAGAAATAATATGGTTGAAAATCTCGCTAATCATCATCATCATTACCCCAGGCCGCAAAGGCTCCCACCTACGGTGGGGTAAAGGGGGGTCAGATGTACGCAGCCTTACCCCCGTGAAAATTGCATGGACTGACTGATGCTTCATAACAAATAAGCACTGACAGTTTAGTGAGCTATTTTGCTTTATTCCATCATATCCTAAGCCAAAAAATACTGAATCTCTGGCTCCATTGCAAATGATGATTGAAAATCTAGCTAAATGAAAAAATTCTTAGAGCTAGTTTAAGTGTCTATATTGTAACAATGCTTAGAAACTTGTATGGGTTTAAGTGTGTATAGTTTTAATAAATTGCCTTACAATAAGAGCCGGTTAGTAATGGTTATCTTGCACAATATTTTTTGAAAGGAAAAGGTTTTGGTAAATAAACTGATCGCATCCAAATAAGTATTTCAAAGGCTGCTTATTGTGCTTGTCCTGATTATTCAGCTTGTTCGCAAAATAAGCCAATTATAACTACCAACAGTGGCTTAAAAATCTCTTGCTAAAAAGAGGCGATGGAAGTTCAAAAAACCCAAAAAGTTACTACCTCCGTCCCACTAAGATTGGGACAGAAAAAGGTGGCACGATTATTAAGAAAAGTGGGTTTGTGTGGTTGATATTAAATTGATAAAGTAAGAATAAAGTAAGAATGGTTTATAGCCACACAATCTTTACCAAATTTGGTATGAGACAATCTCAGTGGGACTTCCCGAAAAGGTAAAATGGGACAATCTTAGCGGGACAGAGGGAGTATAAATGATTTGAACACTATTTTTTGTTGTAGGATCTGAATTCAGAGGCACATGTGCAGCTTCAGTCTCAAGATGGGAGCACCAGTGGCAGAGGGAACCACTCCCGGCAAGCTCAGAAGAATGGCAAAAAAGTGCGTGCAAAATCTTCTGTCAGCAAGCAAGAAAGAGCCTTGGAAGGAGAAAAGAAAGAATTCAGCCCCAATAAGGTTTTTGTGGGGAACTTATCGGAATCCACTACTGCAGAGGATCTCAGGAAAGTTTTTGGCTGTTTTGGTGGAACAATCTCTAGTGTTGTTGTTCCTAAAGATGGAGATGGAAAATCAAAGTGTTTCGGATTTGTCCACTTTAAGGATGCCGATGACGCGGCTTGGTCAGTGCAAGTGCTTAATGGCCACCAATTCGATAACAAAAAGTGGAAGGTGACAAGAGCTTATAAGAGCAAATCTGCTGGAAGGGCTAATAGGAAGAAACCCGCCGATGAACTGGCTCTTTCTTGCACTGATAGTAGTGGTACTAAATCAGAAAATTCTGTGGATGAATCACTTCAATCTTCCACTGCCAAAGCTACTAAAACAAAAAGAGCTGGGAAAGCTGTAAAAAAAGAGTGCACAACCATGATTGGCCCTGCAACGGTAGAATGCACTTGATACGAGTTATAATTTTGAAACTTGAAATTCGGCTTGCATATTTCAACACACAGCAGACACTAATATTTCGTAATGAGTTCATATATATTATTTTTATTACTCCGTATATACGTAGTATATACTTCCTCCGTTCTTAAATAAGTGCAACAGTCAATATTTCACACTTGTCGAGACACAAGTTTGACCATTAATATGTATAATTCTTTATTAGTAAAAAAATTTAAAAAAAATAGATTTTGAAAATTTACAATAATACAAATTTAACAATATCTTTTTCAAGAAAATATATTAATACATTATTTAATTAAACGTAGTCAAAGTAGAACATGTGAATAGTGTAAAATTTAGGATGTTGCACTTATTTAAGAACGGAGGTAGTATATCATAATTTCAAAATCTATTTGTCTGTTCTTAATGGACTAAAAAGCATAAGAAAAATTCGTAGTGTACAAGAGTTGTGCACAAAGTCTACATAAAACCCCTCTAGTTGCATGGGTACACAAGCAATTCGTTTGGAAAGGGGCAGCATAGCTGCACTATTGAGCAGAATAAAGTGATTCTGCTCAATAGTTCATTTTACAGTTGAATTTCCTATCAAAATAACTAGTTTGATAGTTTCATCTTTTCTTCTTTCTTTAATTATCATCTTCCATATCTATTACTCTCATCTTCATCATTTTTATTTTATTCATCTTCATTCTTCATCAACTTACATTTTACCTACTCCATCATTGCTGAAGTTAGAGTTACTTAGAAATGTCACCGGGAAAAACAAAATGAAGTTTGAGAATTGTTGGAAAATCATCGGAATTTTTGTTTGTATCTCTACAAAATGTTGTCTATGTCATACTAAAGGAAATTGCGCCATAGATGAAAAATGGTCTATACATCGACACTGATTTTGCATGTCATTCACACCGATTCGGTGGTTGTGCACAATCATAAATAGTCTGGGCACAAATATAAAAATGTTACACAAACAAAAAATGTATGAGTATATACATTTTAGTTGTCTATATATACATAAATTAAGGGATGGATTTAGCGGGGTGACCGCCTCCCTTGGACTTTCAAACTTTTCTATTATATATGTAATATTTTTATAAGATTTTCATAGTTTAATTATACATATACGTGTTCGCCCCCTTAACTTTTAGTTTTCAAAATTAATATACAGTTTTACATAATGTAGTACTCTATTAAATATTTAAAAGAAGACACATCTAAAATATTTGCATACCTTAAACCAGTACGGAGTTAGTAATAGAATCACTCATTGTTTAAGACTTAGGATACTTATTACTAGAAGTATATAAAAATTACTAGTTTTGTAATGTTTAATTATCTTTATTAGATAATTAGTTCTCGATTATGTACAATATGAACACGATATTAAATATCAGACACACTAGTTAAATAGTTTTTAGATTATGTGAAGTGAATCCAAAATATAAATGTTTGTTGACATTAAATTACAAAATTCATTTACCTCTACTTTCTAAAAACAATTTATTGTAGAGATAATAATAAACTTTAATTTATTTTAGCATTAATACATACTCCGTATATAATATGCACCACATATATGAATTAGCAATTTAATATTATAATAAAAATAATAATATCATACATACTATTCTAATATTAAGAGAACTTCTCGTGATTCACAAACACCTTTCTTTGTAAACAAAAATAAAAAAAATGACGCCAATAATAGCTACAGCTTCTCTATTGACAAAAATAAGGCAACTTCCTATTTTGGACAAATATGTGACCTACGTATGTGTAATATGTCTAAACTACCCCGATAGAATTCTTCTCTTTATTCCCTTCCAGGTGTGAGGCCGTGAAGGTCTTCGATTGACTCCAACCCTGCGGCCAAGGCAACCCAGCTAGATTCCGGCGATGGCCACAACCAAAGGCCCAAGGCAACCTAGATCTGTTCATGAGATGTAGATGGCGCTTTTGCTCCTGCAGTGGCGAAGACAGAGGTTTTCAAGGAGCGGACTTCAAATCTTCAACCCAGCTTACCAACACTCATCTTCGATTCCGGCAACAGCGACACAATTCGTTCCAAGGACTGTGGTTTGCCGAGTCGCCTGTGTTTCTCCTCGTTCCTTATCGTCAAGTGTTGAAAGCACCAATTTCCTCTATGGCGATTCCGATTTCGTCTCTTTCTCCCCCTCCCGCCCGCACCATCTTCTTCCACTTTTTATTCATCTTCTTCTCTCTTATGCAATTGAGTCTCGCTTTTGAATGATTTCTTCATCCTGGTTTGGAGGTTTGGAGTTAGGCTCATTGTTAAGCTGATTTCAATTCCAGGTGGTGAGTTTTATCATTGATCGGGCAGTGACAGGGGTTAAGAAGGATCTAGCTCTGGGTTTGGCCGTTGGTTCATGGGCGGTTGATGCCAGATGGTGTCATAGCTTGGGTAGTGGCGTTTTGTGGCGGTAGTGTGAGGCGGGGAAGGGGTTGGTTAAAATGATGTGAATTGAAGGGTGGCGGTATGTCATTGAGGGGTATTACTATGGTGCAAGTATGTCACTGGAGTCTCGCCCATCAGTGTTGGTCATTGCAGTGTCAAGGCAGAGGGTAGCGGTGTAGGCGGTGTTGGTTTGGCCCGTTAAACTGTCTACCGCCAGTACTCTCGTGAATGCCGGTGTTAGATAGGTCACTCTCGTCTTAGTCACTGTGAGTTGGGGTGCGGTGGTCACTGAGACATTGTCACTGGCGCTGAAGTAACTGAGACAGTGATAATTGAGACAGTAGTAATTGAGACGAAGGTCACTGGATCGATAGTAATTGAGGCGGGGATCATTTGAACCATAGTAACTGGGACGACAGTTATCGAAGTGGTAGTAATCAGGATTGTAGTCACTGGAGCGTTAGTAACTGGAACGGTGGTCACTGGAGCGTTAGTAACTGGAACGGTGGTCACTGGAGCGTTAGTAACTGGAACGGTGGTCACTGGAGCGTTAGTAACGGGAAAGCTGGTCACTGAGGCGTTAGTAACTAGAACCTTGATCAATGAAACATTAACAATTGGAATGGTGGTTTCACACAAATTTTAGTATAATAATTTAAATATTTAATTAAGACCCCAATGTTTTCATATTCAAATATCTATCTTGATAAATAATACTCTGTATATCATAATAAAATCAAAAGAAGCAATTATGGGTGGAGAGTGATCTTATGTAACCACTGGTACGTAGTGCAATGTTACTATGGAAAATGGAAACTAATAATCCAACCTTTTAGCGGTCTTCTTTTAATGGTCCTACCTTTTCGTTATTCATGAATGATCCAACCTTTGCACCTCATCTTCATTCACTGGTCCCTGACCGGTTGATGACCTGCAATTCCAAGTTATTTTCTGATCTTTGCAAAATATTATCTTTGTGAAAGGTGAAATTTATGGTATAATAATTTGCAGAGATAAGAAAATAACTCGGAATAGCAGGTCATCAACCAGTCGGGGACCAATGAATGAAGATGAGGTGCAAAGGTTTGATTATTCATGAATAATCAAAATGTCGGACTATTAAAAGAAGACCTCGAAAAGGTTGGATTATTAGTTTCCATTTTCCCATGTTACTACATAAAGTTATGTGGATGTCGAATTGAGTCATGCTCAGGTATGGATGGAGTCACCGTCAGTCAACAGAGTTGTAGGATTCTAATTGAGAAGCGGTTTAAGAGCCTTAAGGGTAATTCAGAGAAGCGGGTGTTAATTAGGGAGTGTTTGCAATTGCTTCAACTTTAGAAAAGTGATTTTTTAAAGTGATTTTGGAAAACGTGATTAATAGTAAAAGTTGGTAGTGTTTGAGAAAAAAGTGATTCTGAAAAAGTAAAAGTTGGTAGTGTTTGGTAAAATAAGTACTTTTTGTGTAATAGAAAAAATGAGAAGCAGTTTAAAGCACCTTTCTACCCGCTTCCAGCTTTTAGCTTTTAAATGATTAATTTAAGCAGAAGCTGTCGTTTGAAAACACTCTTTTCAACTTTTTTTAAGCCAAAAGCTGAAAAGCGCTTTTTTTAAGCAAACCCAAATACTCCTTTAGTCTTAATCTTGGAAATTTAAAAAAGAGGTCTCTTTTTTGTCTATTGTCAATTTTTTAGTAATATTCATGTCAAAACCCCAGCAAAAATTGCAATTCAATAACCAATTCTTTATTCTGATAAGATTCACATGATTAAACAAGGCACAAGTTATTTAAGAAGTATTGGTGGATGTGTACCTTTTAAGTTTTTATCTTCAAATAATTTGATAAAATTTTATACATCCTTTTTTATTTTTAAATAAATTTCCTTTGATTTGCCATTTCTTAGCATTAATGTACCATTACTTTTTGTAGAGCACTTTAATTATAAAATCAAAGTTAATTTACCATCGTTTAAATTAAACTTAGAATGTACTCTGTAATAGATTTAAATGTCGTTGTGTATGAAGTAATGAAATGCTTATGAATTAAGAATAGCCGCAGACCCCTACACTGGCAAAAAAATTCGTCCCGCTACACGAGCGAAAAAAAATTTGCCATGCTACATTAGTGAAAAAATTCGCCCCGCTACACTAGCGGCAAAATTTTGCCCCCCTTGACTCGAAATTCTGGATCCGTCCCTGCATAAATACATTGGTTTGTGGGTAAATCACATTGATCTGTGTGCTACATTTGTAGAAATGTCTAGGTTAAGTTGTTTGTTTATACAGACAAAAATGTTACACAGAGACAAAATGTATGGATCACAACAACATCTAAACCTTAATCTCAAAAGATTTTGATGTCGGCTAACATGAACCGATCCAATATATCAATGCCAAAAAGAGAAGAAAGGTAAGGGAAAAAATGTAAGATAAACATAAATATAAGAAATAATAACATAAGAATATTAAAATGATAATAGATAAAATGATAGAAAAGCATAAAAAATAAAAGATAAAAATAACATAAAAACATAAAAAGATAAAAAAAAGATAAACGATAAAAAAAATGAAAGAAAAGAAATTAGTTTTATCTATATACAAACAAAAAAGTGTTTGATCTTATGTATTTTTTGTCTGTGTACACAAGTATTGTTTTCCATGCATCCTAACCTTAAGTTTTTTAACATTTTTATGCATATACCCAAATACGGAAAGAA